GCCTTGCCAGCATCTGTTGTTTTTTGACTTTTTGATAATAGCCATTCTGGCTGGTGTGAGATGGTATTACATTGTGGTTTTGATTTGCATTTCTCTGATGATGGGTGATGCTGAGCATTTTTTTCTATTTGTTAGCTCTTGTATGTCTTCTTTTGAGACATGTCTGTTCATATCCTTCACCCATTTTTTAAATAAAGTTGTTTATTTTTTGCTTGTTGATTTGTTTAAATTTCCTATAGTTCTGGGTATTAGGCCAGAATCTATAGATATCAGGTGCATAATTTGCAATATCTTCTCCCATTCTACAGATTGTCTTTTTACTCTGTTGATACTTTCTTTTGCTCTGCATAATCTCTTTAGTTTTATTAGGTCCCCACATGTCTTTTTTTTTTTTTCTTTCTGCAATTGCTTTTGGAGACTTAGCCAGAAATTATTTGCCAAGGCAAACCCACAGCCAACATTATACTGAATGGGCAGAAACTCAAACCACTCCTCTTGAGAACTGGAACAAGACAAAGATGCTCACTTTCACCACACCTACTCATTGTAATACTGGAAGTCCTTACCAGAGCAATCAAGCAAGAGAAAGAAATAAAAAGCATCCAAATAGGAAGAGAGGAAGTCAAACTGTCTCTGTTTACAGACTATATGATTCTATACCTAGAAAACCCCATAGACTCCTCCTAAAAGCTCCTAGATCTGATAAACAACTTCAGTAAAGTTTCAGGATATATCCATGTACAAAAACCAGTAGCATTTCTATATACCAACAACCAGGCTGAGAGTGAAATCAAGAACACAATACCACTTACAGTAGTCACAAAGAAAATGAAATGCCTAGGAATACAGTTCTCTAAGGAGGTAAAAGATCTCTACAAGGAGAACTATAAAGCACAGATAAAAGAAATCAGACAACACAAATAAATGGAAAACCATTCATTCCATGCTCATGGATAAAAAGAATCAATATTGTAAAAGTGTCCATATTCCCCAAATCAATCTACAAACTTAACACTATTCCTATGAAATTACCAACATTATTTTTCACACAATTAGAAAAAACTATTCTAAATTCATATGGAACCCAAAAAGAGCCTGAATAGCCAAAGCAATGGGAGAAGGACTCCCTTATTCAATAAATGGTGCTGGAATAACTGGCTAGTCATATCCAGAAGACTAGAGATGGACCTTTGTCTTTCACGATATGCAAAAATTAACTGAAAAGTAATCAAAGATTTAAATGTAAGACCTCAAGGCCAGGTGTGGTGGCTTAGGCCTGTAATCCCAGCACTTTGGGAGGCTAAGGAGGGAGGATTGCTTGGGGACAGAAGTTTGAGACCAGCCTGGACAACATAGGGAGACCCTGTCTCTATAGAAAATTTTTTTAATTAGCCAGGTGTGGTGTTGTGTACCTGTAGTCCCAGCTACTCAAGGAAGTGGAGGAGTGCTAAGGTGGGAGGATCAGTTGAGCCTAGGAAGTCAAGGCTACAGTGAGCTCTGATGGCATCACTGCACTCCAGCCTGGGTGACAGAGCAAGACTCTGTCTCAAAAAATTTTTAAAAACAAAAAAGACCTTAAACTATAAAAATCTTAGAAGACAACCTAGGAAATACCCTTCTTTACATCAGTCTTATTTATTTATTCTTGTATTCATTTTAGAAGGTGGTTTTCAAGGAAGTATGTCCATCTGAGTTGTAGAATTTGGCAGATAAAGTTACTTGTTATGTCCTCAAAATAGAACCTCAGATCATTGATTTTAAACCTTCCTTTCCTAATATAAGCATTTAAAGCTACAGTAAACACTGTTATAGCTGCATCCCACAAATTTTGATATATGGTATTTTCATAATCATTTAGTTCAAAATATTTTCTAATTTTTATTATGATATATTCTTTCACTCATGGGTTATTTACAGATTTGGTTGATTTTCAAATATTAGGAAAAATTTTTTTAATCATTATTAATTATACTGCAGTCTGAGAACATACTTTCAAGCATATTGAGGCTTCTGGCCATGACAGAGTAATAGACATTGGATTTATCATGTTGCCATAAAACAACTTGAAAACTAGGCCAGATGTATGAAAAAACTGTTTTATGACATAGTGTAGAACTGTGATTTCTGAGAGAAATACCCAGCATGAGTACTGTGATGATAGCCTGGCTTCCTGCCTGGAAGCACATTGTAGACCATGGAAAAAGAACAAGGACTTCAAGCAAAGCAGAGGTCTCCCTGAGTTGAGACAGAGATTGGAGTTCAGAAAGGCTAAGGCAGCTAGAAATTGCAGGAGTGTTCCTGAGAGAAGGGAGGTACATAGAAGAGCTCCAGAAATCTGCAGGGGCACCCCCGCCTTGAGACTTGACAAAGACTAATATGTGTATTTGTAGTTACAGATTGATGAAATTATCCCATGCTTTGACCTTAATATAGATTTCTTCTGCCCAGAGCACTTTGCTCAGAAGTTGCCACCTGGCAAGGAGTTTTGAAACTGAGTAGGGGTGAGTTTAGTGAGTCCTGTCACTGCCACAATATCTACTTTTTAATATTTATCAATTTTGTAAGATTGTTGTCTTTTTCATAAATTTGCTACAACTGCATATTTTATAAGTAGATAAACATATTTTAATAGTTTGTCTTCAAGAGATTTCACTTCTGTCACATAAGAACTTTATTTTAATTTTTAATAATAAAGATAATGACAGGCTAAGTAATTCAGGCCTCTTATTCATTGAAGGCAATTTAAAAACCAATAAGAGAAATTCTTTTTTTTGAGATGGAGTCTCGATCTGTTGCCCAGGCTGGAGTGCAGTGGTACGATCTCAGCTCACTGCAACCTCTACCTCCTGGGTTCAAGTGATTCTCCTGCTACAGCCTCCCTAGTAGCTGGGATTAGAGGTATCCACCACCACACCTGGCTGATTTTTTATATCTTTAGTAAAGATGGGGTTTCACCATGTTGACCAGTGTCTCAAATCCTGACTTAAAGTGATCCGCCTCCTTGGCCAGGTGTGGCAGCACATGCTCAAAATCACAGCTACTTGGGAGGCTGAGGCAGGAGAATCGCTTGAACCTGGGAGGCAGAGGTTTGGTGAGCTGAGATCAAGCCTGGATAACAAAAGCAAAACTCCATCTCAAAAAAACAAAAACAAAACAAACAAAAAATTACCTCTTTATTGCTTGCAAAAATGCTCCTTTTCTCAGTGCTAATTTTTGTTTGTCTTAGTGAGATTTGTCTTTTATCTACTTTTTTTTTTTTGGAGACAGTGTCTCACTCTGTCACCCAGGCTGGAGTGCAGTGGTACAATCTCAGCTCACTGCAACCTTCACCTACCATGTTCAAGTGATTCTCGTGCCTCAGCCTCCCACGTAGTTGGGACTATAGGCGCATGCCACCACACCCAACTAATTATTTACCTTTTTAGTAGAGACAGGGTCTCACCATGTTGCCCAGGCTGGTCTCAAACTCCTAAGCTCAGGCAATCCGGCCACCTCGGCCTCCCAAAATACTAGGATTACAGGCGTGAGCCACCACACCCAGCCTGTTGTTTATCTACTTTTATTAGTCTCAAAATAATAGCTCTTGATTTTAGTTACCATTTTTACTGTTTTTAAAGTGATCACTTCTGTTTTTGTCTTAACTATATTCTCAACTTTTTTGGCTTATTTTTAATTCCTTCCTAGATTCTTGTTTAATTCACTTATTTCTAGCTTTATTTAATAATAAGCATCTAAAGCTGTGACTTTTTATGGTTATAACTTTAACCATGTCCCATAGATTTTGGTAGTCTGTGTTCTGATTGTCATTTTTTTTTTTTTTAATTATCCAAGTCTGCACAGCTTACTAAGTGGCAAAGTCAGGATTCAAAGCTAAAGGGGTTGTCTCCATGACATGAGATCTTCTGCTTTTTCATGTCTTCTCCTTGTAGAACAGAGAAAGTAAATTTGGATGGTTTTTTTCTGGATCAGTGATTGAAATAATTCAGAGTTAAACACAATGAATTCCTTTTTTTTTTTTTTTTTTAACTCATCGGGAACCTATGTAACACCTGATTACCAGAATTCTGCTGTAGACACCTCAGCTTTTTGGGGTATGGAAAGTGAAAATAAGTAGGGGCCAGAGCCTCAAAATGATTTTGTGAGTTGGCTGGACTTTCTTCTGCCTGTTGCCTCTGGGATTATTCATGTGTCCATTGGGGTGTCTTAGTGTTTCTACCAGTAATTAGCTTGGGCTGCTTCATGGGCAGCTAGATTCAGAGTCATTATATGGATATCCCAATTGCCCTGGGTTGATTTTATGAATGTACCAAATTCTCACATACACCCCCCAAAATATGTACATCTAATGTGTATCGGTAAAAAGTCATCATCATTGCCTTTTTTAAACAGTTTTGTGGAGTTATATTTACTCATTTGAATGATTGGTAGTAACCTTATCACATATTATAACCATCCCATCATAAAGCTGTTTTAGAACATTTTTATCCCTCATGCCCATTTATAGCTAATCTCTCTTCCCACCCCCCACTGCCTATCCCAAGCAGCTGCTAATCTGCTTTCTCTCTATAAATTTGCTTTAGTTGGATGTTTTATTTAAATGGAATCATACCATAGGTGATCTCTTTTATCTAGCTTCTTTCAGCATGTTTTTGATATTAACCCATGAGGTAACATATATCAATAGTTTATTTCCTTCTGTTGCTGAAAGGTTTTCCATCATACGGATTTGCCATGTCATTGGTTTTTAGTAAGTGTACAATTTGTTTCAGAAACTTTTTATCTAGGTTTGACATAAATGAGGTGATATTATGGTCTTAAGACTCTATTTTTTGGATTTAAACTTAGTTTAGTGACTTTACACATTGTATTTTTAAAAAATGTTCCTTGGAAATTTTAAAGAACATGTCTTTTCTGTTTGTTATATAGTTGTCAATTTATGCTTTTTAAGTATAATAAAAGTTCAATATTTATATCTTTTCTAGATTATATATCTTCAAGTGATGCAGGCCACTATAGTATTGGAGACAGCATCTGGTAAAGGCTACCACAGTGATGGAGGCAACTTCCAGAAAGGTGAGGGTCTAGGCCACTTACCTTTATTCTTCCTTGGGAAGGGTGCTAAATGTATTGTACCAGACAGTTTGCCCTTCAAGTTGCTGCTTTTTAACTCTTCCTCCCTCTAAGGTGGTAAGAGTCGTGTGTTTTTAACTTTCCAAATTGACTCGGGTGATTTTTGGTGGATCAGAGCAGTCTAGGCAGGACCTTTCAGGAAAATGGAAGATTTAGGAAAGGGAAAGTGAGCAGGAAGAAAGGGTCTCTGTCCAGCCAGCCTTTCAAGAACTGCTGACAGGTATAACTACCTTCAGGGTGATAAGCAGAAAGTGAGCAGGCTGACTTCTGCTGCCCAAGTTTTATGTTTTCTTCTTCCCATAAATCTGAAATGTATTTTTCTTGGATAATGGCAGAAAGAAAATAAGAAATTGCAAGAGTATAAAAAGCAAAATGACTAAATTTTATGTGCTTATGAATATATGTAGCTTAAACTATTAAGAGGTATATATTCTAGATTAAAACAAAAACTCTATTCTACATTTTTCATGAGACATACTTAAAACAGAAAAGAAAGGTTTAAGATAAAAGGATGGACAAGTTAAGAAACAAATTAGCTTAAAAAGTTAGGGTGATAGTAGTAATGAGTACAATCAATGCAGAAAGCATTGGAAGAAGATTAAGAGGGTCCAGTTATACAATGAAGATGTCAGTCATGAACCCTAACGGAATAAACCGTATACTTTCTATTCATACATTAAATGTTGGAAATCTAGGGAAAGGCTCCTGGAGATTGGACATGATAATGGTTATCTATCTCAGTAAATCCTAATAGGATGTTGTATGCAATTCAAAATGTTCCCAAAAAAAAAAACTTTTAAAAAAATTAATGTGTTGGAGAGAATGTAAAATAATTTTTAAAATAAAGGGAAAAACTTAACTTACCAGATATACAAAAATCCCACAATACTAGAATAATTAAAACAGTATAATACTGTTATACAAAAAGATAATAGGTTAATGGAACAGAATAAATAGAAGTAAATTCTTAGAAAATCATGAAACAGAAGCAAGAGGACTTCAGAATATGATAAAAATGTTGTTTCACGTCAGAAGGAGAACAGTGGATTATTTGGCAAATGGTATTAGGACAGGTGACCATCCATTTTGGAAGAAAATTAAGTTAGAGTCCTACTTTATGCTAAAGAGAAAAATATATTCTGTGTAGTGTAAAAAGACTGAGTGTTAACCCCCAGGCCTCCCCACACACACACACAATTAGAATAAATTATAGGAGAATATTTTTATGATTACTTGGTAGAGAAGGCCAAAGACACAAAACCCAGAAGTTACAGAAGACTGATTCATTTCACTAAATAACCTGTACAATTCTGGTATGACAAGACACTATAAAAAGTTAAAGCCAGGCAAACTACTTGGGCAGCTGAGGCAGGAAGATTGCATGATGCAAGTCTAGCACCTGGGCAACACAGCAAGGCCCTGTCTCTTAAAATAATTTTTAAAAGTTAAAAGATAAGCAATAAACTAGGAAAATTCACTTAGATTACAAATGTTAAAAAAAAAAAAAAATTAGTATCTACAATGTCTAAAGGACTCCCAAACAACTCTCTCATCTTTAAACACATATTTATAACAGCTTACTGGACAGACATTCACATCTGGATGTTTTATTACTAACCTCAAATCTGCTTGCCCACGATTGAACTCATTATCCTCCTCCCCCTCCTTCTCATTTTTCCTCTTTACCTTCTAAATCTGCTCTTTACACAATCCTTATCTCTTTAGCTCTGAATATTCCCATTCAACTATAGTACCAAGTTGTAAACATGTAAGTATTATCTTTTAGTGATATTTAAGTACGTATTTATTGGCCATTTGGTAAGTCATGACATCAGTTTAGCTGATTGTGATCAACTTTTTAAATGAAATTGAATAAAATAAAATAGAAATACCAGAATACATAGGATAAGGAATAATTACTGGTTTGTAAAATTTTTCTTTTACTTTTACACATACACATATGTATGTGTGTACTGGGTCATGATACAAAATGTAATTCCAATTATGATCTTAATCAAAAAATCTTTTGAAAGCCACTGCTCTCTCTCTTCCTCTTACTATCATCTCTAATTGGCCACCAAGACTCGTCAGTTGTGTAACTTTCATACCAGTCTCTTCTTCAGTCCCACTTCTATACTCCTTTGGTACCTGTCTTTATTCTCCTCTTTCAAGTTTCTGTTCTTTCTGTTGCCAGGACTGACTCAACGACTCAATTCCAGTCAAATGACTACCCTTTTAAGAAGCTTTCAGTCGTCTTTTGTTGCCTTAGAATAAGAACCAAACTCCTTAACACATCATAAAAGGCCTTTTTCAGTTCATCACTCCTGTCACTCTCATAAGAGTTCTTTCACTACCGACAAGCTGGCTTACAATTTCCTGAAAATGCCATGTTCTTTCACACAGCTAACTGTACTTGTGTGGAGTTTGCCTAAAATAATTTTGTCTGTTTTGTTTCAAAACACTTTTTAAGTATAAAGTTTTTCTGAAGTCTGTTTCCTCTTTTTTCTCAAAAATTTACCTGCTCTGTCAACACAACTCTGTCAGCAGTTTTTAAAAAATACATTTTGGTTGAGCGCAGTGGCTCACACCTGTAATCCCAGCACTTTGGGAGGCCGAGGTGGGTGGATCACAAGGTAGGAGTTCAAAACCAGCCTGGCCAAGATGATGAAACCCCTATCTCTACTAAAAATACAAAAAATTAGCTGGGCTTGGTGGTGGGTGCCTGTAATCCCAGCTACTCAGGAGGCTGAGGCAGGAGAATTGCCTGAACCCAGGAGGGGTTGCGCAGAGGTTGCGGTGAACCAAGATCGCGCCATTGCACTCCAGCCTGGGTAACAAGAGTGAAACTCCATCTCAAAAAAAAAAAAAAAGAAAGAAAGAAAGAGGCAGGGCACAGTGGCTCAAGCCTGTAATCCCAGCACTTTGGGAGGCCGAGGCGGGTGGATCACGAGGTCAAGAGATTGAGACCATCCTAGTCAACATGGTGAAACCCCGTCTCTACTAAAAATACAAAACATTAGCTGGGCATGGTGGCACGTGCCTGTAATCCCAGTTACTCAGGAGGCTGAGGCAGGAGAATTGCCTGAACCCAGGAGGCGGAGGTTACGGTGAGCCGAGATCGCGCCATTGCACTCCAGCCTGGGTAACAAGAGCAAAACTCCGTCTCAAAAAAATGAAAAGAAAGAAAGAAAAAAGTTTCTTATTAGACCATTTTACAAACAGTGGCTTCCCTATAAACAGTACATTGCTTTCCATTGAAAGAATTCAAGAAAGTCTTACCTGTTGTCTTAGCTAGCTCAGGCTGCCGTAACAAAATACCATAGAATGAGTGGCTTAAACAACAGGCATTTATTTTCTCATAGTTCTGGAGGCTGGAAGTCTGAGATCAAGGTCTCAGCATGGTCAGGTTCTGGTGAGAGGGTCTCTTCCTACCTTGTAGATGGTTGCCTTCTTGCTGGCTGTGTCCTCACATGAGAGAGAAGGGAAGCAAACGCTCTTGTGTCTCTTCTTGAAAGGACACTAATCCTATAATTAGGGTCTTGCCCTCATGGCCTCATCTAAACCTAATTACTTCTCAGAGTCCTCATTTCCAACCTATGAGTCTGGGTCTGGCCTTCAGTGTATGCATTTGGGAGGACATAGTTCGGTTTTTAGCTGCTACTGCAAGGGGTATTTGTCATGGATGATGTAAAAAGTATTCTTGCATTAGGAAGAGCTTAAATCAGATCATGTATAAGGTTTTTCTAGGGTTTAGATTCTATAATGTTGCTGTTAATATTTTTATCCTTTTTTTAATCAGATAAACCTTCGAATCTTAAGAAAGAAAATTTGTCATTATCCTCCAATGGTTGTGATGAAGTCAAATTGACTTTTCCTGATGATGACTGGGATTCTTCGACACTAGAGCAAAGTGCTAATAATAAAGAAATTAGCAATATTGACAAAATGGATTTATTAGAACCATTTTTTTCAGTGAGTCAAGATACTAACAGAGAGAGTACTCACTTTCAGTCGAGTGAACTTGAAGACAGTACTGACTATGCTCTCTTGAATGAAACATATTCTATACATTATCCAGAGTCAGAACTAAAGAAGGAAAATCATACTCTTTTAAGTTCAGAATTAGATCCTGAAGTACAGAAAAAAGAGGAGATGTTTTTTGATATTTTGGAATATCAAGATAAGACTGTTGGCTTGGAAAGAATCTGCAGTATTTCAAATACTAATTATAAAGAAACTACTGAAGATACACAAAAGCATGATACAGATGAAGACTCACAGCAGGAATATCACAGTGCAGAAGAACAAGAATACATAAGTAACCATTTATCTTTTGACCAAACAAAAACATTAGGTATATGTAATCTGGAAGTTGTTGAATCAGGAAATTCAGGTTATGAAGTTAAATGTGCTAGCAATGGAGAAGATAATCATGTTAACTTGGGAAGTGGTTCTATCATCTCTTTAGATTCACGTGATGTTTATGGACAAGAAAATTCACCTCATGTCTCCAAATTTCAGAATTCTGTTATTTTAAGGGAATATCATGACCTAAAGCATGAAAAGTATAAGGAACAAGAGACTAGTTCAACGTGCCATACAGTTTTTGATGGCAGTGTACTAAGAAGCAATTTTCCAGGAAACCAGGAATCTCAACCTAAGAGTGGTTCCTTAAGCCCCCCAAAAGTATTAAAAATGAAAATTTATACTGAAAAAATGAAATCTCAAATAAATGAAAGTAAAGATTTTTGTGGAAATAAAATTGTTGAGAACAAAATATTACAGCACCTTGAAAATCCTAGCACATTACCACAACATAAAGCTTTAGAGACATTACGCCAGCCCTGTAAAGATCGTCAAACTTCCTGGCCCTCTGTTTTTGATGATTCAGTAATTTCTTCCTGTGGATATTCACATTATAAAAGCCTGCAAAACACCGCTGACTCAGCCTTAGATTTTTCTGTTACACTACCAAAGACTGCAGTCAGAGATAATCAGCCAAAAGAAGATAATAGTTCCCTAAAAGTTGCTAATAGCAGTACCACAAAGAAAATGTGCTTTCACAATATGGAAGGAATGTGTACTAAATCAATGACAGATGGAGCAAGTTGTACAGTCACAATTAATCAGACAGTTGACGTTAGCACTGATTTTAGGGCTTGTTTCACAACCAGCAGGGCAACAAGTGCAAGACCTTCGGTAGTATCTACATCAAGCAACACAGAGGTAACAATGATGAATAAAAAACAACCTGATGAATGGCAAAATGAGAAACACAGAAGTGTGGCTTGTAGTACAGATTGGTCATACAGTGAAGATTGTATAGATACACAGATGGCTATGGCAAAAGGATCAGGAAAATCTCCCTCGGTTGACAGTTTAAAACCTAATGGAAATTTTCTAAATAAGGTAAAATCAATATGAGAAATCATAAAATTTAGACTTCATGAAGAGACATCGTATGCTAATGTAAATGTTTTTGGTTTGTTGAATTGTATTAAGGCATTTGTTAGAAGATGCTAAATGAGGGGAAAGGTGTGTAAATTACCACCAGTTCTCTCTCTCATGGAAGCTCCTCCCACAAAATCCATTGGAAACTGAATTATACATTTTACTAGTTTGGAATTTCAGATATAACATAGGTTGTTTATAATTTCATTTTAAATCATGTTTTCAGGATTTCCTGGAATTAAGAAAATCAGTTGATATCACAGACCTAAAGAAACATCCTGAGAGGTACGTCAGATAAGTAAGCTTACAGATACATCTAGAGGAAAATAGCAAAATAGTTGCTTTCTGTGTGGCATACTTACCCATATAGAATAATAGCTAAAATGGACTTTAAGATATCATCTACTTCAACCGTTTGCCTTCAGATAAATATTAAAACAATATAGAATATTAAAGCTCTTTACTTATTGAGATTTCACTCTCAATTTCTTCAGAAACTGGTGGCATCCGATCTTTACTTGTTCAACCCAAATCCATACTGACTTAATTTTCCATTTTCCTTCATTTTATTCACCCGTAGACCAAAACAAACTATTACCTTTAGAATATGTCATTTATTTGGAGAAGTAAATAGCTACTTTTACAGGAGCATTTTAATCTTGATTTTAACTCATTGCATAATTTGCTTTGCATTTATTAGATACTCTTGTAATTCAGAACACAGTGGAGAACCAGGAAGTGGGAGGGAGAGAAACAGGGAAGGTCTAAGAAGCCAAATTAGTTATCGTACTCTGAGGTCATTTACTTTTTCCTTCATTTATTTATTCTTCTAATATGTTTAATCTGGTATTTCAGGTCTATAAAATTAAATAGAATAGTTCCTAGAAGCAGAACTATTGAGAATAGCTGGAAGTGGCAATTAGTAACAAGGGAAGACCTCCAAAAACTACTAATACTCAAAAAAAACCATAGTGACTTGGGGCTTTTTGATATAATAGTACAACAAAATATTTGCTTATGTTAATGACCCTTAATTATTAAGAAATAGATAAATTATTTTCTGTTAAAAAGACAGTATGTTTTAAGAATAATTTTCATCCAAAATGCTTATAACTTTAAAAAAATCTTGGCCAAAGGTTGATTTAGGTTTAAAAAAATCCATTGATTCTGGACAAATAAGATCATTTCCAAAATGACTTTATCCAGAATAAGCAATTCTCCAGAATAAACAATTCTCAAATTCATACTTTTTTGGTAAAAGAAAGTATGAATTTGAGAATTGTTTACTTCCTCAACTTCTAGAAGGAATATATTTAGCTTTAATTTACTGTTTTCTGAAGTTGTTGTATGTTCCTACAGCCTCTTCATCTTTAGTAGAAATTGATTTAAATTTGACAGGGAAATATTAAAAATTTAAAATCTGTTTCTGGAGGCATGTTATTACTGTAGAAAAATGTTTGGAATCTTATCTGTTGCTCTTTTATTTTTAAAGGGAAGTTCAACTTTTTAAAGATACGGAGAAGGATTTGCCGTCAGTGTGCTGTCAGAAAATAATGCAGAGAGCCGTAAAAGCAGAGCTGCAACTTTTAAATGTTCACTATCAGATATGTCGTCGCCATTGTTGTGATATTTACAAACTTGTAATGGAAAATAGGGAAGGATTAAATAGGTGTTTATTAATTTTAAATGTTTTTTCTTAGAAATTTGTCACTAGCTTTATGTTTATTCTAGAAAGTCTCTTTAAGTTTTCTTTTTGAAGAGTAAAATGAGGAGTAGATTGTTACTGGGTTTGTCAGTTAGCCTAAGGGTAAGAGAACCCTTGAGTTTCGAGGAGGGGCCACGATGCATGGTTGGCATGATGAATCCAGTGAAAACATAGATTTGTTGTTTTTTTATGAAGTTCAAGTAAGGATGAAATCAGGGTTTTGACTCACATGTTACCACACTTTGGCTCATGTGTTCAGAGTTATTTGTACTGCCCTTAGAAAAACGCATTTACTGTGGTTCAGCTTTTCCTTTTAACTCAACATTTAAAAGAAAATATCTAAAGATCTAGTAAAATTAGAACCAAGTGGGGCTGGGTAAGGTGGCTTGTGCCTGTAAACCCAGCACTTTGCGAGGCTGAGGCAGGAGAATCACTTGAAGCGAAGAGTTCAAGACCAGTGCGGGCAACATAATGAGACCCCCATCTCTACATTTTTTAACAAATTAGCTGGGCATTGTGGCACATGTGTAGACCTAGCTACTTGTGAGGCTGAGACAGGAGGATTGCGTGAGGACAGGAGTTCAAGAACCAAGTGTATAATACTAATGTTAAGTGGATGACTTGGGCCTAAATTTCGTTTTGTGCACTCAACTTTTGAACAGGAATTTATCAAGTAATTCTGCTAAGAAGGAATTGGGATCCGTACTACTGTCTCTCTTGGGAGACTTAAAAGTTAAATATGTAAGTTTGAAAGAAAAAATACACAAGGGCATACCACTGGAAGAGCTGCCCCCACTGTCAGTAGAATCAAAATTATTATCTACCTTCTCTACTTTTGCTTCCAAGGTATGTATATATGTTTTAGGGGTAAAATTTTACTTCATCAAGACAGAAAACATTTTAAATATTTTTTTTCCTTTTCTCTCTTTCCAGCTAATGAAAAAAGAAACACATATGTGAGTTATGGTTTCATCTGATTTATAATTCATTAGATCCTAAATACTGTTTAATTCAGCTAACTTTAAACTTTCTGTTTTGTTCCCTTTTTAGAACATGGATAAATTTTTTTTCTTGAAACTTAATATTGTACAAATTTATGGGGTACATGTAATATTTTATTACATGCATAGGATATGTACTAATCAAGTCGGTATTCAAGATATCCATTATCTTGTGTATTTGTCATTTCTGTGTGTTGGGAACATTTCAAGTCCTCTCTTTTAGCTACTTGGAAATATACATTATATTTAACTATAGTCACACTACTCTTCTGTCAAATATTAGATCGTATTTCTTCTGAAGTGTTCTCTTTAGCTTTTCAGAAGCAGATGATGAACTAGATAATCAAAGGGCTCATGATGTTGATGTTTCTTCGAAACTGAAAAAGACTCTCTCTCAAGTAAGGTTCCTGGAAAGTTCGTCAGTGTAAATCTTTAATTGTATGGTTTAAGTAAAGTAAAGTATAATTTTCAGAAACCCTGACCTCTTTTCACTCAACTGGCTTACTTTGTATACTACCATTTGAGGGATATAACTGATTATAATTATATGTTTATGTTGAATGCTGATCAAACAGATATCAGCCGTGTATGTTGAATAGGGTGACCATATAATTTATATCATGCCAGGAGACTTTTGAGTTTTAAAGAGTGTAATGGTAATTCTCTACAACAGTCAGTATAAACCTGGACTGTCCTGGGCAAACTATAATTCAGTGCCATCATCATGTTGAGCCAGTGCAATTAAAACTAACGTTTTATACCTTCATCTCGTGAGGTAAAGTAATAATTCAGTCATTTTAGACAGGGAAAAGTTATAATTTCTTCTTTACTGAAATGATGAAAATCATTTGTAAATGCCTGTCAGAGGTTTTCTCACTCACTCTTGTTCCCCCAAGAAAATGTTTGTCAGATGGCAACCAAGAAGGAAGATTTAATCTATGTGAGAACACTGAACCCAGCACTTTGGGAGGCCGAGGCGGGTGGATCACGAGGTCAGGAGATTGAGACCATCCTGGTCAACATGGTGAAACCCCATCTCTACTAAAAGTACAAAAAATTAGCTGGGCATGGTGGCGCGTGCCTGTAATCCCAGCTACTCAGGAGGCTGAGGCAGGAGAATTACCCGAACCCAGGAAGCAGAGGTTGCGGTGAGCCGAGATCACGCCATTGCACTCCAGCCTGGGTAACAAGAGCGAAACTCCGTCTCAAAAAAAAAAAAAATAATAAGAACACTCTGAAAATTACAAAGTGTTATGGAAACATTGATTCTATTCCATTATTAAGCAAGGAGGCAATGGAATAGAAAAGCTGGGGTTTAGTTTGCTTTTCTGACTTTGGTTTTAACCCTGAGGTTTCTTTATTTGAGTAATATTAATCCCCCAAGATGAAATCCAAAGTTAAAAGTGAAATACTTGATTGAGTAAACATAAATTACTTTAACATTGTCTATTCCATTGTTAATTTCTTTTTTTAAAAAAAATCTCAGTTATCCATGAAGAATTAACAAATCCAAAACTAAATTTTAATGTAGTTAATGGTAGCAGTGGTATAACCTATTTATTTAGGGAGAACAATAAATTATTTTTTAAAGAATGAGTTGCAGATATAATACAGTTTTTTATAATCTTGGTTTTGAGTACAAAACAATATCTATTTTAAGTTGGGATTACATTTTAATTCCTATCTCATTATATTAACTGGCAATGCATGAAACTTAGTATAGTGTTTCTAAATTTCAGCCATTCATGTACCATCTTCACAATTTACCATAGTCCTATATTACCTATAATGTTACTTTGTATTTGTCTTTAAATGATTCTCTTTTTACATAAGTTTAAATATAAATAATAACTATTACATATAAGACAGTAATACTGCTTCTCATAAATAAAAGATACACATAAGCATACATTAAATTAAATATATAACTGTTAAAGGTTAATGTGATAAATATTTATATATATATATATATATATATATCTCTCTCTCTCTCCAAAAATTATCTTGATTACTTCTCATGTATGTATGCCACACTGCCAAATAGTAGTATTAGCGGTCACTATACACAGACTGGATTCAAATTGTAATTCTTATTAACTGTGTAACATGAGGCAACAAGTTACTTAGATTCTGTTTTCTCATATGTCAGGTCAGGTTGATAATGTTTTGCTTTCATAGCCCTCATTACTGTAAGGGCTAAATAATGCCAGTAAAGAAATCCTGTCACATAGTAAGAGCCAAATCATTATTTGTGCTTATTTATTGTTGTTTTTATTATCTTAATCCTCAGATGTCTTTATCATCTGACAATAGTCATGCTACACAAAGCATATCACCCAAGAAAGATGTCTTAAAAAGTGGTGATATAAATGCAGACTTTAGTCAACTGAAACTTGATGATAAAGGTTAGTATAAAAATGGGTTATCTTGTATAGTTGCTGGAAAACAAAATAAGGTTTAACATGTCGGTAATGTTCATTCATTAAATAAAAATAAATATTTTAAATTGACAGAATGGCATTCTGATTATAAATGTCAAGTATGTTCTTATTATTGCTACTTGCCATTTTTAAGGTTGCCTAATATAACTGACAATGCTGAATAATAATATGGACTTTTATTCTTCTGGTTCATGTTTCCAATACGAAAATTCTCTCTTGTATCTAATTTGTGTCTCTAAATTGTGTGTATTTTTAGCACATGAAAAGAGATTATGATCATTCCAAAAGATCATTAATTTAATTCTAATGAAATAGGTGCAATACTGCTTAATTCTTTCAAAAAGGTTCATGTTATTGCATATATAAAGATAATATGTCTTCACTAAAGGACAATTCAAAATGCACCTTATTAAGGGTTTTAATAAGCTGGGAATAGTGTTTTCATTAAAGGAAAACTAGGAAACAGATCACTCAGACTGAAAGCAACTGTTTATTTGGGGACTGGTGAAAATCCTTCTCAGAGAATCTTTATGCTTGGTTCTCTTGTTTTGCTAATATTTATCTTTAGATTTATATATAAAACTAGTAGTCATCATCATACAGCTGTATCCATGGTTTTTAGTAACTTTTCAGTTGTGTTGGACATTATATGAATTGATAGCTCATTGTGTTTAATGTCTTAGACTGCAGACATTACCAAGAAATAAGTGAAGACTGGTTTGATGCTAAAGAAAACCTGACAGGAGTCGACATCTCAGGAACCCAAGAAAATCAAATTGAACAAGACAGATGCAATCTGGACCTTACACTAGGTTGGTTCTCAATAATTTACTGAGAAATCCTAGCTTAGATTATTTGTAAAATAGTGCTTACCTGCTTCTGTGTTGTGTTGGGCATCTGAGCTGTTTTAATAATTTATTCCTGTTTTGGCTTTTCTTTATAAATATAAAAAATGAGGAAATTGTTCAGTTGGAGGTCAATTTTTTAAAGAGAAAAAAACTGTTAAAAGCTTAAATCCAAGATTTAGTTAGCAGGTAGATGCCTGCATTCTTCCCTTTGCTCTTGGCCAACATCAGCACTCCTGAGGGCATCATTTTGCTCTGAGCCCTCATCAGGCACTTTACAGGCGTAGGTACATGGTGGATAAATCCAGCTTCCCAGTCACCATCAGGCAACCAGTGTTAATGATGAACTCTTACTTCAATAATTTTAGGGATGTTTACGTCTTTAGATAGTCCTTAATTGCTTAGAATAGTCACAATTTTCTCTAGTACCTGTGATTACTGCCCTTCTGTCATTTCTAGTGAAGTTTATTCTACCTTTCCTTATTTTCTCTGGGTCTTCTGTGGATTTTTCTTTTATTTTCCATATCAGCATTGGTTTTATTGTTTTTTCCTGCTTGTATAAATAATGCTTATCATGATTTAAATAAAATCTTAAAATATAGGGAAATTAAAATTAACTGAAGTTTCTCCAATGCAATAACCACTATGAATATTTTAATGACTATTTTTATGCATTTTGTTATGCATATATTTAATACACATATACAATTTAAAATAAGGCATTATATGCTCTAGTTTCGGGGTTTTGTTGTTGTTTGTTTTTTGAGATAGAATCTCGTTCTGTCACCCAGGCTGGAGTACAGTGGCACTATCTTGGCTAAATGCAACCCTCCTGCCTCAGCTTACAGGCACCCACCACCGCACCCAGCTAATTTTTGTATTTTTAGTAGTGATGGGGTTTCGCCAGGCTGGTCTTAAACTCCTTACCTCAAGTGATCCACCCACCTCCTGAAGTGTTGGGATTACAGGCGTGAGCCACGGCACCCAGCCCCATATCATCTAGTTTTATTCTGTTTTTTTTTTTTCTGCCCTCGTGTTAGTTTTCTTCATGTTACTTGTCACAATACTGTGTGATTTGCTTACTTGATATATTTACTGACTTGCCATCCTCTCATTGGCTTAGTGAGCTCAGGGATGTTTATATATTTTGTTTACTGCCTATCTCTAGTGCCAGGTACGCCATGCAGCTCATTTAGATGTTTCATAGATAATTTGTATTGAAGTAGTGAAAGTGAGGTGATGGGTATAATGTCTTTTGATACTTATTTACCCTTTTTAACTGTACTGTAGCTCATTATTCCCTCCTCATTCCAATGTAAAAATATAAAGGTAGGTGGTTTTGCAATTTTTTCTTTAGAATACATCATGATTCCAAGAGATTAACAACTGAAATAAGTTAAGTTAATGAAGGTTAGGTATTATTACCTAAAGATGACAGTCTCTCCCTGGATTCCAGCACCACCACTTACTAGATTTGTGACCTAAACTCCTGAGACCTCAGTATCCTTATCTGCAAAATGAAAATAATAATAGCTACCTTGTAGTGTAAGGATTACATGAGATGATGTGTATAAAGTGCTTGCCATATTGCCTGGAGCATCGGAAACATTGAATAAGTATTAGGCTACTCCTATATTATTACTTAATGAAAAAAATAAAAATTGCACATCTCCTATTATTACATAAAAATTATAAAGCATATAAATAAAAGCTACTTTAAGGATCCATTCAGCAAATATTTGTGTATCCCATATGTGCCAGGTATAGGATTTGCTAGTAATCTGAATCTCCATTCAGTGGATCCTTTTTGATTTCAGGTTCTCTTCACAATAGAGACTATGAAAATGTACTCTAAGAATTTTGAATTTTTTATCAAGAAACAAATATACCTATAATCCTAGTATTTGTAGTTTGGAAAATCATGCTGCCTAACTCAAGATGTCTCACCCCTTTTTTTCTTGTGTGTCCTTACCGTTATTACAAGCTACATATTATAATACCTGCTATAGATCCTGGTCCAATTAAAAGGTTTTCTTGGTATGATGTTTCCCCAGCAAGGGAATGTGCATAATCAGAGCTCTCAAACCACTAGCTCTAGCCTGCATTAACACTAGGGAGTTAAGATCCTGCGTGTGGATACAGTGTTCTAGATAGCACTTCTAGATAGACAAATGAAAGACAATCCACTGCAGATTGAAAATATTTTTAAGAGCCTGTATTAAATATGTACAGACTTTCTGGGAGGCTCATTATTTCCGAAACAATACAGTATAACAACTATTTACATTGTGTTAGGTACTATAATTAATCTAGAGATTATTTAAAATATATGGAGGGATGTAGGTATGTTATATGCAAACACTGTGCCATTTTACATTAAGGGACTTGAGCATCTTCAGGCTGTCCTGGAACCAGTCTCCCAGGGATACTGAGGGACAACAATTACAGTAACTAATTACTTTGTTTAGAAGAAGTAGTTTATCCATTTTTGAGCTACAAGAGACTTAACTCACCCAACATCTTTATTTTTTAAGATGATGTGATTAAGGCCCAGAAATCTTAAAACTGTACTGCAGGCTCTTAGTCCTCAGTCTAGAAGTGCTGATAGTTGCTGATAACTTTATAATAAACTTTGGGTTAGTAAAAAGGAAACATAAAATATTTCACAGTGCTCACATTTTCTCTGAAACACCAGAACAAAAAGGATCATTTCTGTTACCTGTTTTTCTCTAAGCAGAAATGAAGAATGTTGAACCCTCACGACGAAATAAAGGTTATCTGATACATGTTGGTGGCCTCTGCCCTTCAGTATCTGAGGTATGCCAGGATTTTTTTTTTTTTTAACTTCATTTTCAAATTTATTTGTTGTTCATATTTTGCTGTTTTTTCTATCTTTCACAAACTTTTATTTCTCTTCTTTTAGGCTGATTTAAGGTCTCATTTCCAAAAATACCAAGTTTCCGAAATTTTTATCTGTGATTCTTCTAATTACAGGTGTGTTTCCCAATTTTGATCAATGTGCATTACTGTGTGTCTGCTGTTTGCCAGAGGTTCTATACCAGATACCAGCCACAGTGGTGATAAAGTCAAAAGCTATTCTCACAGGGTTGCACAGGTTAGGAAAGGGTATATGTGGACAAAAAGCTGCAATCTTGGGTTGATGCTGTTCTTAACTAGATCTTTTTTCAATGTACTTTGTGACTTGTTAATGGTATACCAGAGAGTTATTGATTTTTGTATACTTTATCTTGCTACATGCCATTTTGCAGGGGAAGTAGAGCACGTTAAGTAAAACAACAGCTTCCATAAATACATAGCATTGGTTCAATTCCAGCTCTGTCAACAACTTGGTTAGTAAGTTTGGGCAAGGTACTTAACCTTTCTGTACCTCAGCCTCTTCGTCTTTAAAGTGAGCATAATAATACTACCTTGATAGCATTGCTGTGAAACTATTACAAGTAAAATATGTGAAACACTGGGAATAGAGCCTGGCACATAGTAGGTGCTCAAAAAATTGTATTTCATTTTACTATTTCTGATTTCAAGTACTTTTTTTTTTTTTTTTTTTTTTTTGAGACTGAGTTTCGCTCTCGTTACCCAGGCTGGAGTGCAATGGCGCGATCTCGGCTCACCGCAACCTCCGCCTCCTGGGTTCAGGCAATTCTCCTGCCTCAGCCTCCTGAGTAGCTGGGATTACAGGCACGTGCCACCATGCCCAGCTAATTTTTTGTATTTTTAGTAGAGATGGGGTTTCACCATGTTGCCCAGGATGGTCTCGATCTCTTGACCTTGTGATCCACCCGTCTCGGCCTCCCAAAGTGCTGGGATTACAGGCTTGAGCCACCGCGCCCGGCTCAAGTACTTTTTAGTTGAAACTTTTTATATATTTCAGGTAGACAGCTACCTTATCTACATATAGTCACTTTGAGCGTGTATATTGTTGCTGCTTTCTGTTCTGTGACATTCCCAGATCATTCAAAAGCATTAAATAACAATGGCGATACCTTAATGGAAATTTTTTTGCTGTTTTATTATTAAAAGTGATAGCTATTTATTTCAGATATAAAAAACTGTATCAATTAAGAAAGGATCCTATTTATAGTTGGGTTGCAATTTATTAAAAATATGTGTCTTAAGTCAAGTCATATAATTGTAAGATAATTGTTTAGCTGTAATTATTTGACCTGTTGATATGATGCTAATACATTTCATTATATTAAAGTAGTATTGTAATCCTAGGAGTATTACTTGATACGAAAGATTCTTTTAATATCTTGTTGAATACTTTTTTAAAATGTGATATTTTTCTTACTGGAACTATTATACATTCTGTATAGAAATTTAGAAAATACAGTTAAATGCAAAAATACAAGGAATTCATAAAAATTTATACAGAGTTCCATCATTTGAAAACAGCTACTCTTCCCAGGATTTGGTATATGTCCTTCCATTGACACGGCCTGGGGCTGCTGCTTTAGGAAGAATAGCTGTTGCCCAGCTTTCTTGTATATATAGTTAAAATTATGATGAGATTTTCCAACTCTTTTTTTGTCTATATTTCCTTACTACAGACTCATAAAGATATACTTTTATGTATTATGCTAAATATTTAAAATTTTGCCTTTTACATTTAAGCCTTTAAGTTATCTGAAGTTCATGTTTATATGTAGGGATTAATTTTAAGTTTTTTAGTTACAGATAACCAATTGTCCCCAGACCACTAATCCCTGCAACTCTATCATATATTAGCTTTGCAAATGTTTTACAGTAGATTTTAATATAAAATAGGAGATAATGTATAAGAAATGTTTTTCTTTTATTTCTCATCTTTAACTTGGTTTTTATTTAGTTATCCTAAATAAATACGCTTCCTAATCCCAAGGTAAGTACAGCAACCTTTTAACTTTTAAAAGCCATTATTCTTGTGAAAAATGTATTTGCATCAATAGTTAACAAAATTAAGTTTGACATAATTTGAAGTCATTAACAACCGTTTGGTTTTCTGCTTTTATGTTTTAGATATGCATCTCTTGCTTTTACAAAGCACAGTGATGCAAAGATGGCTGTGAAAGAAATGAATGGGATAGAAATAAATGGAAAATCAGTAAATGTGCGGCCTGTTAAAACTCCTGGAGAATATACGTCACCACTTTCCGCCAAAAATGGGAATAGAATTAGCTCAAATAATTTGGAGAAAAGCACCAACAAAGAAATCCACTCAGCCCTCTCCATTTCTAGATTGCCCAGAACTAGGCCACGGCAGCTGGGATCTGAGCAAGACAGCGAGTGTTTCCTTTCCAACCAGGAGGTTAGTGTTTTTGATAGATCCCTAAAATGGTCTTTGTACATGTCATATTGCTGAAAATAGCTTTGTAGAATACATAACTTCAATATGCAGTCTTGAAATGTGAATGACAGCGTTAATCTGTATTGTGGGGTTTTTGTTTTTGAAACAGAGTTATACTCTTGTTGCTCAGGCTGGAGTGCAATGGTGTGATCTCCGCTCACTGCAACCTCCGCCTTCTGAGTTCAAACGATTCTCCTGCCTCAGCTTCCTGAATAGCTGGGATTGAAGGCACCCGCCACCACACCCAGCTAATTTTTGTATTTTTAATAGAGACAAGGTTTCACCATGTTGACCAGGCTGGTCTCGATCTCCTGACCTCATGATCTTCCCACCATAGCCTCCCAAAGTGCTGGGATTACAGGCGTGAGCCACCGTGCCTGGCCAATCTGAACTGTTTTTAACCTTGAATCCACCCTAACCTGCTTTTGTACAACTCCAGTTGTTCCTGGGGGGAAATCTAGGTCTTTGTAGACCAAGCTAACAAATACCTCATTTTAACTAGGCTCTCTGCCAATCCTTTGCAGTCTTTTTATTACAACTCTTTAAGTAATTTTAATTTCTTCATTTTTTTTAAAGTTTACAGACAGTAAAATTCAATACTTATTGGTGTCTGTAATTCTAGACAAATTCATATAGGCAAGTCGCCACCACCTTATAATCAAGATTCAGAACAGTTCCATCATTCCAAACAATTGTCTTGTGCTCTGATCTGTTTCCTAATCTTAAAACTACCTTTTTCAGAATGTTATATAAATGAAATATACTGTGTAGCCCTCTTAGCCAGGCTTTTTTCACTTAATGCATTTGAGATTGACCCATGTTGTGTATATTACCATTTTTATCCTGTTCATGTTGTGTCCATTTTATTTAGCTGTTTATTTTATTATTTTTAATTTTTTGATATTCTAAGTCCTTTACCAGGCAGATAGGTGATTTGCAGATAATTTTTCTCACTTCGTGCCTTGTCTTTTCATTCTCTTAAAAGTGTCTTTCTCAGAACAGGGATTTTTAGCATTTATGAAGTATAATTTATTTTTTCTTTTATAACGTATGCTTTTAGTGTTGTAGCTAAGAAATCTTAGCATAATCTAAGATCACAGAGAATTTGAGTTAATTTTTATAATTGTTTCAGGTATTTGTTAAGGTAGTTCGTTTGCATTTGTTTCTGTTTTGCATGTAGTATAATTCCAGCATTATTTGTTGAAAAGATGATCTTATTTCTGTTGAATTACCTTTGCACCTTGGTAAAAAATCAGATGATCATGTTTGTGTGAGTCTATTTCTAGATTGGAACTATTTCATTGAAACATCTGTCTCTTTTCACCCGTGGTATACTGTCTTTGTTACTGTAGCTTCATAGTAAGCTTTGACATCAGGTGGAATGAGTCTTCTAAGTTTATTCTTTTTCAGAATTATTGTGACTGTTTAGTCTCTTTGCCTTACTGTATATTTTTATAATTTCTGTCTACAGAAAACAAAATCCTAGTTGGATTTTTACTGTGATTATTTTGAACCTACAGATCAGCACAAATCCCTTTTAATAACTGGGTGAAAGAATAAATACTTGTTGAATAAATGAGTTTAATTTTTGTCTCAAATTCTTGGGCTCAAGCGATCCTCCCACCTCAGCCACCAAAGTAGCTGGGACTGCAGGTGTGCCATCATGCCCAGCTAATTTTTGTATTTTTTTCTGTAGAGACCAGGCTGTGCTATGTTACCCAGGCTGTTCTCAAACTCCTGTCCTCAAGTGATCCTTCTACCTCGACCTCCCAAAGTGCTGGGATTACAGGTGTGAGCTACCACACCCTGCTAATTACACATGCTTTAGACAGGAAATTGAATTGATCCAGGCTGTAGTTTTGATGTTCATGAGCTCAGGCAGCAACACTCTTGGTCCTGTCAGCTGTGGCACTGGGCCATGGGGTTGGCAGAGGGACATTATAAAGAGGGCCCTACAGGCTATTGGTAGGACTATATGGATAGGGAAGCTCCTGTAACCATCTTAGTTAAACTATACTCTTAAGTTCTCTTTTCCTTCTGGCAATTTCTTGTTATCTTGTTCTTTTTCTGATTCTCAAAATTTATTTTCATTCATTTAGAAAATATTGATTGTCTACAATGAGAGGCAGAATCATGGGGATTAAGAAAAACTCTTAGATTTATAATCTGGCTCTGTCACCTACTCACCATTTGATTCTGAGAAATTAACCTAACCTTTCTATTTCTGAGCTTTCTTATTTTAAAATGGAGATAAGAGCCCTTACCTCACAAATGTTGAGAAGCTTAAATGAGCTTAATATAAAAAATTTTTAGAACAATGCCTGCCATGGAAGATATACCCAGAAAATATTAGCTGTTGTTATTACTTACCAATAATTTGGCTTTTTCTTGGAGAGCACATTCTTTCTGTGGTTTCACCTGTCACTTAAACTGTTGTATCCAAATTTTTATTTACTAAATAAACAGTTATTACATACCAAGTGTGTACACTGTTCTAGGCACTGGGAAAGCAACAATGAACAAAACAGACAAAAATCTGTGCTCCTAAGGAGCTTAAATCTAGTCGGGGAGATAAGGCAATAAGCAAGCAAGTAAGAGATACAATATTCTGATGTGAAAGGTCTAAATATTATGTGTCTTGCCCTAACTTTTCATCGAGGCTTCAAAGCTGAATCCTCTTTTTGTTGAACTTTTATGGGATTTACAGTGGTTTTCTACAATTTATAGCCTACTTGCATTGTTAACAGTAACTAATTGATCATTTTAATTTTGTCCCTTCACAAATGAAGAGGGCTCTGTTTTCTATCACTAGTTTTTCCCACACAGCATATGGTGCACTTCTGGGCATACAGTTTGTATTCATTATATATAGTACATAGTTAATATGATGTAAAATATTTCTAATTACTGCATAACCTTTCTTAGTCAGGTTGGTTAAGAGAATTAAGCCTTAATGCCCTAAGCCTAAAACGTTTATTTAATGAATGAATCTCTCTTCTATGCATCTAAAATGGAACTAGTTATGTCCTATCTTTGGGAGAATTGAGAAAGTAGTTACGTCATTCTCTGCGTTCTGTGGTTCAGATGAGGAATCTGGTTGAGAAAGGCTTATTTAGGCATAGCCTCATATACTTTATCAGTAAGAAAAAATGTTGGGTATATTTTTTAATACGTGGCCCTGAAACACAGCTCGAGTAAATGCAATTGATACAAATAATCCTAAGTTAGAGTAAATTTTTAAGAAATTTTTATTTTATTATTTTAATTTTCAAATATGTTGTCATTGAATAAGCTGTATTGTCTTTATGTAATGGTTCTTACTGATTTTAAGAAAACTTCTAAAATGCTTTTTTAGAGTGTCAAGAAGAATTGTAAGCAAATTGAATCTGCTAAATTATTGCCTGATACACCTGTTCAGTTCATACCTCCAAATACATTGAACCTTCGTAGCTTTACCAAGATTATGAAGAGATTGGCTGAACTTCATCCAGAAGTCAGCAGGTAATAACCAAAATTATATTTTAACTGGTTTAAAACTTTTGTGTAAAAATACAGTTCAATTTAATAACTTAGACATAATCAGAATGTGTTCCTTTGGAAAGGACAAATATTCACGTATGTTTTCCTTTTGCATAGAGACCACATTATAAATGCGCTTCAGGAAGTGAGAGTAAGACATAAAGGTTTTCTGAATGGCTTATCTCTTAATACTATTGTGGAAATGACTTCATCTGTTCTGAAAAACTCTGCTCCCAGTTAGGAATTTAGAAAACAATAAAGAGGTAAAGTAATCATATTCTTTCATATTTGAATATTACTTAAAATTTATAAGCTATTGATTTCATTTTCTTTTTACATAAAAAGCATATTAAATTTAAAATAATATAATCACAAAATAATAATATAAAACCTAAAAACAAACATACTGGAATTACTTAACATTAATGCAAAACTAATTGCCCTAAAATTGACTGGCTTAAACAACACATAAACTCAGTTTGCGGATCAGGATTCAGGAGTGACTTAGCCAGGTGGCTTTAGCTCAGGGTTTTTCGTGTTGCAGTCAAGATGTTGGCCTGGACTGTAGTCATCCAGAGGCTTGACTGAGAACAGAGGATCTGCTTCTCAGGGGGCTCATTCACATGTCTGTTGGCAAGAGGCCTCAGTTCCTCACCACATAGGCCCTTTCATGAGGCTCTTCAAATGTCTTGATATCATGGCAGCTGGCTTCCCGTAAGCCAGAGAGAGAGAAGGATGGAAGCTGCATTGTCTTGTCATATCTCCCCTCAGTAGTCACAGATACTACATTTTTTTCATATTGAAGGTATGTGGCAACCCTGCATCAAGCAAGTCTATCAGTGCCATTTTTCCAACAACCTGTATTCACTTGGTGTCTGTGTCACATTTTGGTCATTCACACAACATTTCAAACTTCTTTGTGATGCCTCTTAGGGTGATTGTGAATCAGTGATCTTTGTTACTATTGTAATTATTTTGGGGCACTTTCAACTACACCCATATAAAACAGTGAATTTTATAAATGTGTATGTTCTGACCACTCCATTGATTGACTGTTTCCCCATCTCTTTTCCTCTCTTTGGTTCTTCCTATTCCTTGAGACACAGTGTTGAAATTAGACCAGCTGATAACCCTACAGTGGCCTGTAAGTGTTCCAGTGAAACAAAGACTGACATGTCTCTCATTTTAAATGGAAAGCTAGAAATGATTAAGCTTAGTGAGGAAGGCATCTCAAAAGCCAAGACAGGCCGAAAACTAGGTCTTTTATACCAGTTAGCTAAGTTGTTCATTGTTGTGAAGCCAACAAGGAAAAGTAATTGATAGAGATTACAAATGCTACTCCAGTGAACCCAAGAACGATAACAAAATGGAACAACCTTATTGCTAATATGGTGAAAATTTTAGTGGTCTATATAGAAGATCATAGCAGCCATAACATTGCCTTAAGCCAAAGCCTAATTCAGAGCAAGAACTTCTTCTCCGTTATTTGAAGGTGACGAGAGAGGGGATGAAGCTGAGGAAGAAAAGTGTGAAGCTAACAGAGGGTTAGGTTAGTTCATGAAGTTTAAAGAAAGAAGCCATCTTTTTTTTGTTTCTGAGATTTTGGTGCACGAATCACCAAAGCCCTGAGCAATGTACACTATACCCAGTGTATAGTCTTTTATCCTTCACCCCACTCCCACCCTTTCCCACAGTCCCTAAAGTCCAGTGTATCATTCTAAGAAGCCATCTTTCTAACAAAAGTACATTGTGAAGCAGCAAATGCTGACATAGAAGCTGTAGCAAGATGCCCAGAAGATCTAGGTTAGATAATTGATGACAGTAGCCACACTGAACAGCCAATTTTCAGTGTAGAAGAAACAGCCATCTACTGAAAGAAGATGCCTTCTGGGACTTTCACAGCTAGAGAGGAAAAGTCAATTCCTAACTTCAAAGGACAGGCAGGTTCTCTTATTAGGGGCTAATGCAGCTGTTTACTTCTAAGTTGAAACTGATGCTCATTTACCATTCTGAAAATCCAAGGGCCCTTAGGAATTACACTAAATCTACTCTGCCTTCACTTTAAGAATGGAACAACAAAGCCTGGATGACAATACATCTGTTTATAGCATGGAGGTTTTTGGGTTTTGTTCTTTTTTTAAGGGTAGTGTATTGCTGTCACCCAGGCTGGAGTAGTGACACAATCATAGCTCACTACAACCTCAAACTTCTGGACTCAAAGGATCCTCCTGCCTAGTCTCCTAAGTGCTAGAACTACAGTAGGTGCACACCACCATGCCCTGCTACTTTTTAAAAAAATTTTCAACCTTTTGTAGTGACAGGGTCTCACCTATGTTACCCAGGCTCACCTATGTTACCCATATTCCTGGCCTTAAGCAATTCTCTCACTTCAGCCTCCCAAAGTGCTGGGGATTACAGGCATGAGCCACTTTGCCCACCTATAGCAGGGTTTACTGAATCCCTGGGATCAAGCAATCCTCCTGACTCCGCCTCCCTCGGTAATTGGGATTACAGACACAAGCACATACCACCATGCCAGGCTAATGTTTTTAAGAGATGGGATCTCACCATGTTACCCAGACTGGTTTACTGAATCTTTTAAGCTCACCATTGAGACCTACTGTGGAAAAAAAAAAATTTTTTTCTTTCAAAATATTATTGTTCCTTGACAATGCACTTTGTTACCAAGAACTCTGATGGAGATGTACAAGGAAATTAATGGGTTGTTTTCATTCCTGCTAACACAACATCCACTCTGCATCCCATGGATCAAGGAGTAATTTTGACTCAAGTCTTAAATATTTTAAAATATATTTCATAAGGTTATAGCTATCATAGCTGATTCGCTGATGGATCCGGGCAAAAAGTAAATTGAAAACTATCTGAAAATAAGTCACCATTCTAGATGCCATTAAGAATATTTATTTTTCATGGGAGGAGGTAAAAATATCAACATTCACAAGAATTTGGAAGTTGAATCCAACCCATAGATGACTTTAAGGGGTTCAAGACTTCAGTGGAGGAAGTAACTGCAGATGTGGTAGACATAACAAGACAATTAGAATTAGAAGTGGAGCCTGATGATGGGACTGAATTGCTGCAATCTCATGATCAAATTTGAATGGATGAGAAGTTCCTTATTGTGGATGAGCAAAGAAAATACTTCTTTTTTTTTATTATTTGTTTATTTTTGTAAAGCTGAGATCTTGTTATTTTGCCCAGGTTGGTCTCAAACTTCTGGCCTCAAGCAGTTCTCCCACCTCAGCTTTCCAAAGTGCTGGGATTACAGGTGTAAGCCACTGTGCCCTGCCCAGAAAATGCTTTCTTGCGATACAGTCTACTACAAGTGAACATGCTGTGAACATTGTTGAAATAACAAAGGATTTGGAATAATCCGTAAACTTAGGTGATAAAGCAGTGGCAAAGTTGGGTTAGAACACCCAATAGGTAGTTTAAAAAAAAAAAAGTTTGAGGACATTGACTCCAATTTTGAACTCCTGCTCTGAGTAAAACACTCATACTGTATCTCCAGTTACAGAAAAATCTTTTGTGATTGAAAGAGTCATTTGATGCCGCAAACTTCATTGTTGTCTTATTTTAAGAAGTTGCCATAGCCACTCCAGCCTTCAGCATGATGTGAATACATCAGAGAAAAACTGCTTGAAAAATCAAAGCCAAAAAGAACTATAAAGCAGCTGGAGAGAGAAGGTTTACTTTAAGAGTGCAGATTCCTAGCTCACTCTCAACAGAAGTCACCAGATAATTCTCCAAGCCCAAAAATAAATGTAAAATCACTAATTATCATGCAACTAAAAAAAGCTAAGATAATTTGTTACTTTAGAAGAAGCCCTATTCAAAAGAAAATACCATAGTGTTCTCTGGGGAAAAAATGATTTTAAATAAAAGGTCAGAGGCATAGGAGAAAGGAAGATCAAGAATAATAAATATGTGGTGTGTCTCAATCAATATTGACTGTATAAAACAAAAATAATGGTGTTTTATAGGTTCTAATAGAATTAAAATACATGATAACACTTAATATATAAGTTGAGAGGGTATTAAGTATTCTTACTATTCTAAACACCTTGCAGTTTGGCGAGAGGGTAAAATGTTCTATGTTGGGGTACTCAAGACCACCCCAAGCTTTATTATATGCTAGGAGGACTCACATTAACTCAGTATATAGATGTATTCATGGCTATGATTTATTACAGTAACAAAATACAAAGCAAAATCAGCAAAGGGAAAGGTACATAAGGTGAAGTCTCGAGGAGACGGGCTTCCAAGAGTCCTCTTCCAGTGGAATCACACAGGATGTGCTCAATTACTCCAGTAATGAATTGTGACACCTGTCAAATGTTGTCTACTGGAGAAGCTTACTAAAGACTCAGTGCCCAAGGATTTTATTGGGGGTTGGTCATGTAGTTGCCCTCTGCTTAGCACATACTATGGTCCCAGGCTCTCAGGGAGCTATGATTCAGCATAAACCACATTGTTTGTACAGCTGTTTTAGTCTAGTGAGGCACTCATCACTTCTGGAAATGGTGGGAACTACCCCCGCCCCCAATCCAAGTTTCTAGATACCAGCCAGAGGCCAACCTTGGTAGCAGTCTTTCTAAGGATGGCAGTCTCAGGCCTGCTACATTAACTCTCTTTCTACACGTGTGCCAGCTGATGTAAGAACAAAGAATCCATGCCGTAAATTTGGGAGCAACTACTAAAAACAATTTTTAAAAGTGCACAGAAAGTGAAGTTGGACCTTTACCTTACACCATATCCAAAAATCAACTCAAAATGAACCAACAACTGAAACGTAAGAGTTAAAATTACAAAACTCTTAGAAGAAAACAGTGAAAAACCTTCGCAGCATTGGATTTGGCACTGATTTGGATACAACAACAAAAGCACGGACAACAAAAGAAAAGATAAATATATTAGACTTCATTAAAATAAAAAACATGAACATCAAAGGACTCTATCAAAAGAGTGAAAAGGCAGCCCATAGAATGAGAAGATATTTGTAAATCATACATCTGATAAGGGGTTAATACGCAGAATAGTCTGGGTGGGGTGGCTCATACCAGTAATCCCAGCACTTTGGGAGGCTGAGGCAGGCAAATCGCTTGAGGCCAGGAATTTAAAATCAGCCTGGGTAACATGGTGAAACCCCATCTCTACAAAAAATACAAAAATTAGCCAAGCATGGTGGCCCATATCTATAGTCCTGGATACTCAGGAGGC